TTCATTTTGAAACAATATAGTGTTTATTCTAAAATAATATAGCGTTCATTCTGAAATATTTTTAATTACAATTTTTCCATAATGTATTGTACATTTGACTATACCATATCATTTGCATTAAAGACCATAAAAAGTCAAAGTGAAAAAAAAGAAAGAGTATGATAGAGTCATAATTAGAAAATTATATCAAGAAAGCTTCCTACTTTATTATCAATAAGGGAAAAAAACTAAAATAACACTTTTAGAGCATTAAAATACTCTAGATAGAAGTGCTATGTGTTTTGTACCCGTGATTCCGATTTTGTCCTTTAATTAAACAACAAATATTCATTAGACACTGCCAAAAATATGATTATTTTGGGCAGTGTGGTTGTTCACTTAGAACTGTGTAGTGGGCAGTGTAGTTTTTTACTCCCTCCGTCCTAAATAAACTTTCCTTTTTGACTTTTTGAGAATTTAAGGGAGGAATATTTTTGTGACGACTTTCCAAAAATACCCTTGATGTGATGTGTAAAAGTAAGATGTGATATGTAGATTATTAGTAAAAAGGTATGATGTGATAGGTAGGGTATGAAAAAGTAAGAGGTAAAGAGGTTTTTTAAGAGAAAAGAGAAGTTTATTTGGGGACAAAGAAAAAACGAAAGGAGAAGTTTATTTAGGGACGGAGGGAGTATATGTGAGTATTTATTGTTACAGTGTAAAATGAATATATGTTGTTATATCTTACGGCAGTGTGTAAGTTATTGTGTTCCTTAATTGCATGTTGGAGTATAATGTCTATTGGTTTATTTGACAGTGTTTTCATGTATAAATTTTACACTGTCAAAAAGTGTATGACTATTTTCATGTATGAATTCCACACTGCCAAAAATGTGTATGACTGTTTTCATGTATGAATTCCACATTGCCCAAAAATGTATGACTAATTTCGTGAATAATCTATTACACCAAAATACACTGGCTAAACATGGGCGTTAAATATGGAACTTAATTTAATGCGTAGAACATGTTTAGGCATTATACAATTGTAAACAACGTTTGAGGAGGATCTCGCAGAGCTATGGTAAACATCGTAGGATGATGTTCGCGTACATATGAGATGCATGAATGAGGACGAGCCGCACGTATGAGGAGGAGTAACTACGTGAATAACCTAATTAGTTTAATCAAATAATTTAAAGTAATTTAAAATAGTAGAATATAATAAAAGGTAGAGGGTGCTTGGAAGATATTGACACTATAATTAAATAGCTAGATTCATATAAAAGATTAAGGAGTGCTATATACATAATATTGAGTGACTTGGAATGCTACATAGGGTGATTTCTTATATAAGATTGAGGGAGTATTAAGAGATCTTTTTTTAAGTTATTCTTATTACTTACTATCGTCTCCTTTGAAAGTTTATGGATGACATTTTTTTCGTCCCATTTGAAAATTTACACTTTTCACTTTATACAACATCAAACGTGTACCCCCACCCCCAAATTTAAACCACCTCTCTTTTTTTCCTTCTACTTTTTATTACTTCTAAACTCACCCCACCATTTTTGAATCACTTTTCCTTTTTACTCGTTCTTAGAATATGGTTTTGTATTTGATAAGTATCTTACAGAACGGGGAGAGTATTAGTTATTCTTATTGTTATCTGATGAGAGAAAATCTGTTTTATTTGAGCTAAACAAAAATAGCTTAAAATTTACTCGTGATTAACTAATATCATATCAGTTGAGACTAGACGAGAAAGATTCAGAAGAAAAAGACCAAGCTTTAAAAATTTAGATCAGAATTATTAAATTTAGACAAAAAGGGCACGTCCTTTATTATTATTACTGTTATTATTATTATTATTATTATTATTATTATTATTATTATTATTATTATTATTATTATTGTCAAGTTATGTCAAGTTATATTACATATTTAATATTATTATTATTTATGGTAGATTTCATATTGTATAGGATCTCTCATTAATGTCAGCTTCCTTATTCTTAACCCTCCTACATGTATATAAGGGGAGGTGAATATATTGTAAAGGGATAATTGAAAATACATAATTCTTCATGGTATCAGAGCGTGTCAGGGCACCCTGCCCAGTCTGCATCAGAGTAAGCCTGAAGAAAATCCGTGGAGGAACGAGAGAGAGAGCCTAGAGTTGGCCTGCCATCTGTTTAATCTCCTACCCACCACAACCCTCCAAAATCGAACCCCCCACGAAGTACTCTTCCAAATGCCACCCTCCTACTCCCATTTGCGTGTTTTTGGATGCCTTTGCTATCCCAACACCTCTGCCACCACGCCTCACAAACTATCCCCCAGATCCGCTCGGTGTGTGTTCCTTGGTTATCCATCCAATCAGCGTGGTTTTCGGTGTCTAGACTTAGCCACTCACAAAATTATAATTTCTCGTCATGTTGTTTTTGATGAGAACACTTTTCCTTTTCACCACACCACAACGCTCTCACAACTTAACTTCCTAGACTCCATGGAGGACACCATTCCCTATCACCTACACCAAATCTCCCATCCCAACCCACAGCCATCTCAACGAGCCATACCCTCCTCGGCCCAACCATCCTCCCCTCAGCTGACCCAGAATC